CTCAACGTTTTGCAACCACATTTATGCAGTGTATGTTCCCGCTCTTTTCAAATGCAAAGTGATGCCACTAAAACGGTATATGTATGCTCTTCTTATACTTAAGGCTAATGAGAGATTCAATTTCTTGATTGATTCAGTATTTAGATTCCTATCCCCTAGTTTGGCAAACTGTTTTAGGGGTTCCTTGGAGGTACCCCTGCAATTTCCTAAAATCTAGGTACTCACTTTTCACCAATCACCCACTTCATTTCGGAAGGGTCAAGTTTTTGTGTGAAGATTGTAGACTGTTTAATGGCTCCCTTTTGGCTGTTTCAGGGACCTCCTCGACTACTTCTAGGGCCACGATAGCGGTATCGACAAAGTAGGCGGATCGTGATCGGTAAAACAGGACAGTCACAGAACAATTTCTATTGTAGTATTTCGCAAAACCCCCATATCATTGGAAGCATAATTTTATTTTTGAAGTTGCAGGTCGTGCAGCGACACGAATACTCCCAAAATGCACGAAACATTTGCAGGCACGTACCTAGGATTTGGCCAAGGGGGGGGGGGGGGGCGGAGGATCCCGGGGGGGGGGGCTTCCTCTCCTCTCTACAGGGCGCCTCCTCTCTACAGAGGGCAAGGGAGGATCTAGGCGAACGTTTTTGTGTGGGGGGGGGGGGGGGGTTACAGGTCGGCCGACATGACGGGTCTGATGGATGAATTCTGACGACCGGGGGAGGGGAGCGAGTATGTCGAGATCAAAAGGCATTTCGTCTTCGTCGTTTCTATAAGATGAAGCTTTATCGTTATAAGTCACTCGGCTCAGTAGTTTTAGTTAAATCCACCTATGCAAGTGCGTCACCACGGATTTCTTACTTGGGGGGGGGGGGGGCGTATCGACCGACTTAAAAACATAGAAGTTGATATTCTTACCGCACTTTTAGCCTAATGCATTAGTAGCATACAGTAGCGATCTCTCTTATTGACCTGTTAACGAACCGGCGGCGCGAAGCGCTGCGAAAATTTGCAAAAAAATAAACTTTTTTTTAAAGAATGTTCCACTTTTCACAGGTAAATATTTGCCTGGAGTGGTAGGCTGTGCCGCATCACACGGGCTGAGTTCACAAATTATAACTTTGTCCTAATGCTCACAATCGACAGGCGCTTAATTGCGTGATAAACGGCACAACTAGCGCTCCATGATGCTTCTGAGGAGTGGAACATCATTCTGTAGTCGACTAGACACTTAGGGATTAGGGAATTTTGATTCAATTTGACACGGTTGGTGTTATTACAGTCACGACCTTTCTTATTGATTGGTGTATGAATCGGAGGCGCGGAGCGCCGAGAAAATTTGCAAAAGCATTTGTCAAAACACTGCTCCAAATCACAAATTTTATAACTCTTTTAGTATGGTAGTACAAGCCGGAGTTCCTTCACACTCCATAGTACACATATGAATTCCGATTCAATTTGACACGGTTGGCCTCACGATCTCGTATTGACCTGTACGTACACAAATTTGCAAAAAAAATCAAAACACAGAGGGGCCTCCTCTCTAGAGAGGACCACCTCTCTACTGTGGGCCTCCTCTTTTCAAAGGGCCTATCAACTACAGAAGGCCTCCTCTCTACAGAGGACTTCCTTTCTACTGAGGGTCTATCTCTTTCAGAGGGCACCCTTTCTTCAGAGGACCTCCTCTCTACAGAGGACCTCATCTCTGCAAAGGGCCTCCGGCCTCCTCTCTACTGAGGGAGTCCTCTCTACAGACGGCATCCTCTCTTCAGAGGGCCTCCTCTCTACAGCGGGCCTCCTCTCTTCAGAGGGCCTTCTGCTTTCAGGCGGTCTCTTTTCTACAGAGGGCCTCCTCTCTACACAGGGCCTTCTTTCTACAGATGGTCTCTTCTCTACAGAGGGCCTCCTTTCTACAGAGGGCCTCCTCTCTAAAGGGGCCTCCTCTCTACAGAGGGGCCTCCTCTCCTCTTACAGAGGGCCTCCTTTCTACTGAGGAGTCAGAGGGGCCCTAGCGGTCAGACACAGACACTAGCAGTTATTCACAGGAGGCCTCAGGAAGTAAGAAGGACCCTAGCTGTCAGGCTGGTCAGAGGCCCTGAATATCCTGACGTGATTTTTGGGATTCCCTTGACTTTATTTCGCCTCCGACGTGATTTTGGCCCCGTGGCCTTCGGCCCACGGGGGCCTCCTGAAAACCCCGAGGGGGGGGGGGGCACCCCGTCCATCTTGGGTACGTCCCTGGACAATTGTCCTCATCGTTCGTCCTACCGTCCGAGTTCCACCCAATGGCCTTGCACCCACCCCTAAACAAACGAAACGAAGCTGTTAAGTGTCGCGCCTTTGTTTTGTTGTGTTTTTCTGCTTTCTGCGCCGCTTTAGCGTGCGTTCGGTATCCGGAAAATATCGTTTGGATATTCTCGGCCGGAAAATTATTGGTGGGTGCCTATCTTCAACATGTCTCATTATCGCGATACCGAACGTAATCCCCGATAATTATCGCTGATGCCGGATAATTTTCCCTGATTATCCGGATGCCGAAGGCACGCATAGTAACATCCAAAGGTTTTGTGCTGTATCGTCAGCTGATTATGCCTGCGATGGCGTCAAATTCCGTAAAAAGGATTTGGCCTTCTTCTGAAGGCGAGACATAAGAGATATCTTAGAAAAAAAGATGAAAAAACATTTAAAAGTTAGTGAATGTGCAAATTTCTTTCACCAAATCCTTTTAAGATAATGCCAGTTTATTTTTATTCATTATGACGTTATCATTTTAAAGATTTGACATAATCATAAACATAATCAGCTGATGATATTTCACCGGCCTTGATTTCACCTCTATTTTACTATTTATAGTTTTGTTACAAAAACAGTGTGACAACGTTCGGGAGGTGAGATAACCGTTCTTGTAAAATACCGCAACGGCAACCGAAGTTGTTTGGTGACGCCTGCTGTACTGGTGTAACATGCTGACCAATTGATTATTTCAGGCTTGCTAAAACCACACTCCACAGTTGATTTTTATGTGTACCCTCCTGGTTTTGTTTTGCTAGTATGTTCTTTCTAATGACTTGAAAGTCATTTTATAAATTATATTTACTCCCTCCATTGTAATGCACATTTTCAAAGCCCCCAGTTAGTTTTAAGGCCAAAATTGGGTAGTTAGTCGCAAAGCATGGAGAGGCGCTTTACCGAGACTCCAGAGATGCTTTCTAATCGGACCAAACCAAACCAAACCTAACCAAACCTGACCTAAACTCACCTACAACCTACAACCAAAAACATGCGACCTACAACCTAAAATCTACCACCTAAAACCTAAAACCTACACCCTACAGCCTAACCTCCTTGGTTGCAAAAAGAAGTGTGACGCCTGCTTTACTACTACCCAAAATTGTAACTTTGCCAAGTTGAGCTTTCTTAATTTGTCCATATTTTATAATGTTGGGGGGGCTGCCTGGCAAGTTGGGGGGGGCTGACCAGCAGGTTGGGGGGGCTGAAGCCCCCCCAACTGTATAGGATCCTACGCCCCTTAGCTATACCGTTGCCTCCCGCGCAATGTCCGCCCCTGTGGACCGCAGGGGCTGCTGCACCGGTGCTAACCGCGGTCATCGGTTTCTGTCACCTTATTACAGAGGTGCTGGGGCTGCTGCCGAGCTGCCGGCAAATGTACGACTTTTTTCGGAAAGATGTTTATGTAATGAGGTAGCCAAGTACTAGGACGAGCAGAATTATTTTGAAGAACGTTCAACCTTTGGGAAATATTAGTGGAAATCCCGGGATTATCAGTACCTTATGGGGATACCCAACCATGCCTTGTACGGTTGTGCCCATGGCAAAGCTGCAATCTTTCACCCGGTGCAGGGGTTGAGCACCCCCAACCATTTTGAGAAATCGACACCCCTGCACACAGACACACACAGACATGCAAACACATATAATTGACCTTGACCTAACTTGACCTGAAATGACCTCAGCAGCAAAAGTTTGGTCGGGTAGTGTGACAAAGAGGTTCTAGCTGGCTTGGCACCAGAAAACAGCATCGTCATCGGTGTATGATAAGCAGCGCACTTGATATCCAACGGTGACCCAAAACTGCAACATTTTTTAGTTTGAACTGACCTGGAAGGTCAATGACTGACCTGAGAAGGTAAAACTGGGTATCATTGGATTCGTCTCTTCCCAAAGAATCTTTTTGGTCTTTACCGCTAAGCTCTATCTCCAACAGGAACGAAATGGCGTGAGGGGTTGGTACTTGGTAACCCCCCCCCCCCCCATGTGCGTTCTAGGATGGGAAAATGGCATGTGCGGGCGAGGGTTAGATGAAATTTCAGAACAGAAATGACGTCATTGATGAGGCGGAGCAGTGATTTACGGGACAGTGCGAAGGTCCTACCAAGATTCTTGGGTCCTATATAGCCTTGGGTCCTACAATGACCGCCTGAGGCCAGGGGCGCGGGAACTACTTTCCGACTGGGGGGGGGGCACACCATAATAGAGATTAACCTAGGGTACCCCCAAATCTAGTTTTCTCACCGGTTTTAGGCCACTTATTTTTCACCCCTCGGCTTTTTCAACAAAAAAAGAAAACATTTGCAAAAAAGTGTGGTATTCCGTCTCAAAGCTGTGGGGGCACCGCCCCCACGGCCCCAGAGTTGGGGGGCAGGCTGCCCCCACCAAGATTCTTACAGATAGCCCCCACTGCCCCCCCCCCCCCGGCTCCCGCGCCTATGCCTGAGGCAGCTCAAGAAGCGATGCAATAAGTTTGCGGTCGTGTGTGGTGACTTGTAAAGAAGTAATGAATTTGAATATCATGTAAAAAAAACAAATTTCTATCGCATCTAATTCATGGTGATGATCAGAACTTTTCGATACACCCTCGTATGTATAGAATGTTTTACATTCTTATTTGTATTGTGGATGGAAGATGCAAAGCTGGCAGTGGAATAGATGCCTGCCTTTGCCGCGAACATTCGCGGCAAATAATATGCACATGTTTCAATCTCTGGCGCAGCTGATTTTTTATATTTTTGAATTTGCCATGTACAATTTGCCCAATATCAATTTGCCGTATAGAAGCCTGGGTGTTGAGTGAGTATATTTCTGAATTGCTACACTGGTCAATGCATTACTGGTAAGCATATACCGTAACAAATAGTCAGTGAACTTCTTCCCAGACCCAGTCCCTTGTTGTTGTTCCCAAGGCTATATAAACGTTGTTCCCTAGACCCTAACTGAAACCAGTGGCAAGTTTTACCCAAGGCCCTTGCCCTAAATACAGTTTTACCAGCAAAAAACAAACAAACGATGCTGGCTGCTATTTTTATTTCTAAGCGTGCTATAAGTTAAACCAACCATGTAAAGATGCAATTTATGCAACGTGTATGGCGTCCGCATAATCAGGGATAATTTTCCACTGTCCAGGATCATTCAGTGTTTAAGGCTGGCATTGTGCAGTGTGCACAGCGGCAGCGATTAAAAAAAGTATTTGTGAAGCAAGAGCAGTCTAAAAATGTGACAAATTGCAATACCTAAATACCTACCAGTGGGTAGGTACCTATCTAGGCATCACTTCAATCGTTCTGATGAAAAGTCCATTAAACCTCAATAACTTAAAACTGGTCTGCTGAAAATAACATTTTATTCTTGACTTTGCTTTCTGAATTCTATCAATTCTTGTTGCTCATCTTGTGCAATATTTTACATTTATTTGGCTCTTGAGGGATCAGGCATGCTCTAACAATCTGGCAAAAAAATAATTAACAGAGCCTCCTATTTTTTTTATACAAAATTGGCCAAAAATATGTCACCATATTAATGCTTATTTCTAACTTACCTTACCTTACCTTACCTTACCTTACGGTGTTCGGGCATAATAAAGGCCAACTCGGCCTGGAGGTCCCGTTCTAACCGAGCTCCTGTCCCTTTTGCCATTTGTTAATCCGTGTCTGGTATATGATACCAGTGATGGCCCCAGTGGGCATCGAGTCTCGCCTTGAACGAGTCCACGGTGGGGGCACTGACCACTTGAGCAGGTAGGCCGTTCCAGTCGTTCACGGCCCTGACTGCGAATGCAGCTCTCCTCAGTCTGCTGACCGCCTCTGGCTTGCGGAGCTTGTGTGGGTGACCTCGTGTAACGGCACCCGTGGCGGGGCAGAAGAGATCCGTGACTTCAACATCAACCCCTCCATGGAACATCTGGTAGGTGAATATCATGTCGCCCCGTTTGCGTCGGTAGTACAGCGATGGAAGTTTCAGAGCCCTGAGCCTCTCTTGGTAGGGCAGGTGGCGAAGGTTGGCCACCATGCGCGTAGCTCTGCGCTGTACCCTCTCCACCAGCTTCTGGTCCGCCCTGTTGAAAGGGCCCCACACGAGGTTGCCGTACTCGAGGTGCGGGCGCACCAGGGACTTGTAAAGCAGCGGCAGCGTGCACTCGTTTATCAGCACGAATGAGCGACGAATCACAGCGAGAATCTGGTTGGCCTTGGCTACGGCTGCTGAAGCATGTTGTCTGAACTTCAGCTCGTCATCGACTTGCACGCCCAGATCCTTCTCCACCCGCACGACGCTCATCTCAGAGTCTCTCATCACATACTGCTTTGCTGGGTTGTTTCGTCCGAGGTGCATGACCTTACACTTCGCCTCATTGAAGGGGAGTTGCCAGGCGTCCGCCCAGTTGACCAGAGCCTCGAGGTCAGACTGGAGGCTAGACGCAGCGAGAGTAGAGGCTACCGTGGAGTACAGCTTCGTGTCGTCCGCGAACATCGTCAGCGAGGAACCAACAACCTCAGGCATGTCATTAATGAAAATCAAGAACAGTAGTGGACCCAGGACCGAGCCTTGGGGTACCCCGCTGACCACCTCCGACCAGTCAGATGACTGACCATTAATCACTACCTGCTGTCTCCTGGCTCTCAGGAAAGCCCCGATCCATGTGATCAGCTTGCCGCTCACCCCGTGACTCCTGAGTTTATAGAGGAGTCGTTGGTGAGGAACGGAGTCGAAAGCCTTCTGGAAGTCCAGGTACATTACATCGACAGGCTTGTGATTCTCTAGGGCCCTGCTCCAGTCATCAAGCACTTTGACCAGCTGGGTGCTGCAGGAGCGCTTTGGCCGGAAGCCATGCTGGCAGTCTGCCCACAGGTGGTTCTCTGAGAAGTGCTGATAGATTGTGTCTCTGATGTCTCTGATGAGGGAGGGAACTTTGATGTGGATATCAACAAGTTTCAGATAAGGGCTCATAAAGTATTTAGGTAATTACCTAACTCAAATACCTAACAATTCAAAGGTAACCATCAAGTATGGTACCTAGCAGCTACCTAGTTCAGTTAAGTTGTTGCTGGTGATTACTTACAACTGTTCTATACTACCAGATGATGCTACCTATGAATAAAACAAAGAATGTGAAAACCAAATATAGAGGCCTCTGAAAGACGAAAGTGCCATGATTTTGAGTAGGTTTGCAGAGATCTGGGTTCTGTACCAGTCAGGTAGTGGATTTGTTTTGAAATGAAGCAAAGTACCTACACATGCCATTTCAATAACTAGGTTACTGGTATCCATTAGACTACTAGGTAAAGTTTGGCATGTTCTATGTAATAATATTATGTTAGGCACTGCATACATTGAGAAAAATGCCACTCCTGGCCCTGGGACCTGGATGAATTCAGATTAGGCCTTTCAGAACAATAGTTGATAGGTATGAAATCATAATACAGCTGAAGATCATCAAGGCTCACTAAGACTTTAAGAAAAGTTGCTTACAAAATAAAAACAACCAAGTGTGGCAACCTCTTTGCAGGGAGTCAGTGGGTGAATTAAAAACACAATTTGCATTCCTAATTGCCAATTGTTGCTGATAAGTGGCGAATTTCCTCTGTTAGCTACCTAGTCCTACTCTATTTATTGAGCTGTTAAGTAGCAGACTCATTTATCTTCCCTAAAACAGGCTGTTTTTTCTGAAGACTATTTTCATTTGTAAGCTCTCATTTTGTGATAACTAGCCAGTCTCTTTGTCTGCACTGAGGCTACCACTGCTCTGGTCTGTATTTTCAGCTGCAGCCATGAAGGTTTACTGCGCTCTGGAGAGCTGTCCCCACCACGCCATCAAGAGTGACCAGGTCGGACTGGTGGACTTTCCCTCCGAGGCGGGCCTACTGCGCCGCTGGCTGGCGCTGACTCAAGTGCGTCACGTGGTGCGCGGCGTGACGCGCCTCTGCACCGACCACTTTCTGCCCCACCAGCTGGTGGTGGACCCCGAGTGGGAGCGCCGCTTCCCGGGCGTGGTCAACCCCAAGCCGAGCCTGCTGCCGGGCACTGTACCCACCCTGAACGTGCCTGGATGGCTGGAGGAAAGGTGAGTGTCCTGGTGTGAGAAGAGGTGAGAATGCTGCTCGGAAAAGGTGAGTGTGCCGTTACGAGGGATATAGAGAACGTTAGACATTGGCTGTCTGGAAGCAGGGTAGAATTTGGGTTCGATCGAGCAATTAAGATGAGCGGTCGGCGGAGAAGTTTAAACGTTAGATAGAGGAGAGATACATAGGCACAGAGAAGAGGTAAGCGCAACGTTTGTCTCCGGAAAAAAACAGGTCGGTGCGTGGCTTACGAGTATTTCAGCACACTTACAGTCGTCAGCATTATCCCTGACAGCTGTAGCACGCACTGTATCGTGTTTTTCGCCCACTTAATTGTATTTTTGTTATGTCATTGTCACAAGCATTGTTAAGGCTCCTGCTCGGCCATTTGTGTTAATTTCTGTCTTCGTTATAAATGAATTGCCTACTTATTTTCTTTGTCATCTCTGATGTTTCACGCTAATTTTTCGCATTTAAGATGCCTCTTTGCATTTGTTGGGTTAAAAAAGAATATTCTCGAGCAATGCGAGAATGGGAATGGTGTCTCTTTCATCTTCGCACGAAGTTACTTAATGTACCATTTTTATTACAAACAAAAAAGACTGACTTGACTACTAGAACGAAAATAAGGGATAGCTGTATGACATTGTCTTTGGCCGCCGTGGATTAGAGGACAGTCTCACTGGCCGCCATTGATGTGAGCTGTGACCTCAGCAGTCTGATCTATTATCTGAGCGCCGTGTGACCTATGGATCTCTCCGTTCCAGTGACCTGGACGCCGATCTGGAGCCGGCCGACCCTCCGTCCATGTTCGTCCGCCAGGATGGCAGTTCTGCGCGCCGCGTGCGCCCCACGGCCCGACTCCAGGAGGCGCACCCGGACCTGTTCGACGACCTGCCACCGAAGATGTTGTCGTTTCCCGCCCTTCGACGGTCACGGGGCAGGCCTCCGAAGGGCCGCCGCGGCCGGCCGTACGACCGAGACCGGAGGCCGCGCTCGCCGCCGCCGGATCTCTCAGACCCGGAGGTGCGGGCTCGGCTGGTACAGCAGGCGCTGGATGAGTACGACTGGCGCCATTCGCGCGCGCTGGAGACGGACTCAGAGCGCGCTGCTGATGGTACGGAGACGCTCTACGTCAATGTGCCCCAGTCGGATGACGAGGATGTGCACCACAGTGCGCCGCGCCGGCGGGGCCGGCCGCCTCTGCGCGGCGGGTCGGCTGTGCGCAGCCGGCGGGGGCGCGGTGTCAAGCGGCGCCGTGGTGCGCACGGCATGGCGGACGGTGATTGGGCCGCTTCCGAGAAGACGGAGCGCGAGCCGCCGCTGGCTGAGAGGCTGCCGCCCGACATGTCCCAGCGGTTTCGAGAAGTGCTGGCCGCCCAGCGCGAGGTGCAGTCGTTGGCCAAGGAGCTAGATGCCACGCCGGTGCCTGCGGTGTACACTGACGATACTGAGAACCCCTCGGTGGGCCAACAAAGAACCAATGCGTCAGACGGCTCCGTGGTCTCCGACAATGAGGCTGGACCGAAGGCGGAGGATAGTTCGCTGATGGTTCTTCGCGGCGGTGGCGACAGCAGCGCGCTGACGGCCGACCCTCTACCGCCGGAGGGAGACCACTACAGCACACCGACCACGCTCGAGGTGGCGCTGGGTCTACTGCACCAGCAGCGGCTGGAAAACCTGCGGCTCCGCGCCGACCTGCTGCGCTCCGCTATCCGTGAGCGCGGGCGCGCCGCTGAGCTGGTCAAGTGGCGCCGCAAGGCCGCCGAGGCCACCCGCGCCTTCAATGACAAGCTGGGCGATATGTTCACACCGGCGCAGCTACGAGTCATCCGGAACCGCTCGTTACGCCGCACGCACATGTGGGACACGATCGACATCAAACGAGCCATCGAACTACGGGGGCTCTGCACGCGGCGCGCCTACAACTTCGTCAAAGAGGAACTGCGTGTGCCGCTGCCTGGCCTCGCGGTGCTCCGCAGCTCGTCACAGAGAGACCCGGTGACGGCGCAGATGTATGCCCAGATGGTGGAGAGCCACCGGCTCAAACACATGACCAAACGTACGCTGGTGTCGCGTACAAGGACCGCCACTCGGACGCACGTAGTGCCGCCACCTTCTGAGGGGGATCAACATTATGACCACAAGTACATCGTGCTCACGGCCGGTGAGGAAGGCGGGGAAGGTGATGCTGGTCACGTGGTGACTGACCCGGCCGACGCCAATGCCCTGCTCCAGTCTGTACAGGCGGCGCAGGCAGCCGGGCAAGCCGTGCACCTGGTGGACGCTAGCGGCGCGCCGCTGCTGGTGGACCGCGCCGCCGGGCAGACGCCGCCCCCTCAGGAGGGGGAGCACTTCCTTATGCTGGTGCCTGACGATGATGTAGAAGAGGCGCAGAGGGAGGAGGCGTCCGCCCGCTCTCCTCCGCACCGACCGGGCATTCTGCGCATACCGAGGGATACGTCGGGCACGGCTGGTGATCAGACTGCGCGGCAGCCTCCCTTCAAACTGGTGGTGAAGAATGACGGGGAGGTAGTGACGGAGGACGGACGCACACTGCAGGAGGTCTCCTGGCCGGCAGGGGTCCATTGGGTGGACGCCTCGCATGTCAGCTTCGCCGAGTAGTCGCAGGGAATCTGTGCCAGTGTCAGCTCGGCCGGTGAGTACCTTCCTACTCATCGCGGCTGGATAGGTGGGGTAGAGTCGCAGCCAGCCGTAAGAGGGGGCAGCTGTCTGAAAGTAGAACCTGATTTCACCGTGAGGGCGCCACATTCGGCGTGCTGATAACTGCTGCTGCAGCTACCATTTACCAAACTCTGTCCTCCACTGCTCACTATGCATTGTTGAACCTGTGTTCGGGACTACAGGCTGTTGGCCTAGGTATACAGACGTCAGCGATGTGTGAAAGTGGTGTGAGGGGTTGTATATTTATGAGGCTTGCCAAATGATATTGCCACGTTAAATTGTGGTTCTGTTTCCTCGCAATGCCCTCAGGATGTGTTTTGCGTGATTTCTAACCATTCACTGCTCACTAGTTATGTAGGTAGTGTCCACTGTCCGATGCATTTTGTTATATACCATCATTTTCATCACTTCGATCGCAAAAATAGTGTTTGATTGAATACACAATGTTTCATCTGGAAAAAATTGAATGTCGAATTTAAGTATCTAATCTCTCATCTCAACTTCAGAACTGCGTCAAGTCTAGCTTAAGCTTTTGGGTCCATTCATAGTATTTTACGATATTTTTATCCTCTAAGGGGCAGTCTGGAAATTCTGCTGCGTTTCTTAGCGAACTACACTGAGGCTTGATACACAGGCAGGTTAGAATCCAAGCCTGATGAACGGAAACTAGCTGGAGCCACGATAGAAGACCAAGGTTTTGGATGCCGCCCCCTGCAGTGCAAACCAGCAGAGCACCTGAAGTGGCCTTTTGATCTGTGTTGTGTCGAGAGTTCAGTGGTTGTGTACTACGTCTTCTAACTTACATTAAAGTACTCGGCTCAGCCGATAGATGGCTCTGATCTAACGCCTGCTGCATGCTGTGCCGCAAAGCTCGGCAGTAGCGTTAGCATGCTTTAGAAACCAATGGATCGTGTGTGGGGGGTGGGGGGAGGCCATTCATACATTTCAATGAGCATTGAGCAGAGATGATTTCACAACAGCTTTATTCAAATACATTATGCAATATTTATACATAGGCAGGTAGCCTTCAAATGGCAGTTAACTGTTATAGTTCGGTAGGTAGGTATTCGTTTCTACTTAGTTCAGGCCCCCTCCCTGCAATTGCACACTGCACAGGAACCACCGCATCGAAATCTAAAGGAAATGTACCATTACTTTTTTCAAACAAGCGACATTTCTCGCTACGGCTGATATTTATTGTCACAGTCATGTCACCGGCACACATTCCGTTCACAACATTGATCGTTAGGAAATACAGCCTCAGCGCCCACTCTGTCCGCTACAGGCATCAGCCAGCGTCAACTGGAAAAGCGGTGCAGTGCGCTTTTCGGCGTCAGATCTCACGTCGAGCGATTCACACACTACAGCACGATACGGTCTCAGTGCAGCACTACAGCCCAAGGCAGTTCATCAGGCATGATCTAATTGTGCATATGTATCGCAGTGCAGGGCAAGGCTTCCTAACACACTCGCTGGAAGATAAGAACTGAGATAAGTCGTGAAAACATTTAAATCTTTTGTGCCAGTCCCTACTTCCTGTGGTGTAAATTCTCTTTTCGATTATCGCTTGATTGTCAAATTATATGTTGACGCGGTCCTCTTGTTACATTAGCCGTCTTTCGCTGTTCCATTGGTGCGTGTGTTGGAAAAAAGTCGAAGAAACTTCGATTTCGTATTTCAGCAATCTCTGTTCAATGCCTGTGTTAGATCAAGTTACATATCATGTAGCGTAATGTGCGTTAAACTCTCTCCTGTAGCTAAGTTCCTAAGTATTTCATCAATAGCTCATCGCTGATCACACGAAAAAGGAGCCTGGACATTAGAATATCAATTTAGCTTACATAATTGTTTAGGTTCCTGCTGCTGTAACGCCAGTCTTTGAGTGGAAACAACACACTATTAATACTCGAATAAAGCTTCATATAAAATACATCACTGGCACATGTTCAATGTAATCAAACCACATGAATCAACAACAAGCAACGTTAACCACTTATTTCACTAAATACTACCTACCGTCGACGCATTTCTAAATACCATAAACTAGGCGAGCAATTCGATATTGATATGTTCGTTAAGTCTCGTTGACACAAACGAGAAACCAATCCAATCAGCATGATCCCTTGAGGGGAATGAAAATCGTCAGCTGATAGAACTGTTAGGCATTCACACGCGATAAGAATGCGATGCCAAAGAACCGATTCTTGTTTCCTAACAAGTCCTGAATTATCTCGTAATACTGGCATGTGCATTGTGCCTACATTTGCAACTCGAACGGTTTGGCGTCAGTAACAGCCGCGGGCCCCACGAAGGGGTTGGTGGCGGGGGCGGCGGGGGCGGGGGCGGCGGCTGGCCACGGGGCGGCGGCGGGGGCGGGGGCGGCTGACCAGGGGACGGAGCTGGAGATGAGCGCGTCAGAAGCCAGAGACGGTGAGCGGCCGCGTCGGTGAGGCGCCGCCGCCGCTGCCAGCGCCGGTCCGTTGGTCAGTGAGTTGAGCCAGTCGTCAGGTCGCGGGGTGGCGTCGGTTGCTGCGCCGCTTCTCTGGAATTGTACACAGGAGGTCAACCGAAAGGTCGCCTGCATGCAACATGTTATGGTGGCCGTCTGTCCCTGGAGATTTGGGAGATAAATATGCACGGTTCATACAAAGAGCCATACCCTTCCCTTCAGAATCTCAGATACCATCATACCATCGTCCCTTCAGAACTCCATACCTACATATTATGGCCTATATCTGGAGCGTTAGATCGGTTAAAACTAGTGGTACCGCTGGTTTACCTGTTGGTTGCCGCTGAGTTGGGACAGGCCGTGAGCCAGCTCCCTGCACAGTAGCGTCACGTTACCCTCCTGATTGTCCGCCGAGGTCGGTACCTCTGCGATAGGAGCCACTGAAACAGGCGGGGTCAGTGTCGTCAGATCAGTTCATCGATCACCTGGCGTTTAACTAAATAGCTATGCCAATAGCATCGGAAAACTGATCGTCATCACGCTGTTTTAACGTTACTAGTTAATTAATCATACGATAAAACTGACAAGAGTCGGCCTACACTGGCGTCCACCGAGGCCCTTTTCACCCTTGCCATTTCCGTAATGCGTCGCATAAACATCTCGGGACATTTCAGCGACCACTGAAATTAGTCGCATGAGGTGGCCATTATGCATGCAGCACGTCACACATAAATACTCACTGTCGAACAGAGGAGTGGTGCCCGCCAGAGACATCTGGCGGGGCCGCTCGGTACTAAACCGCCCCGGGCGACCCGACTCGAGGTCAGTTCTGCCCTCGGGCGACGGCGAGCCGCCGTACGGAAGGGACATTAGACGACCCCGAGCCACAGGGGCGCGCGCCGGAGCTTCAGTTGTTGACGTATCGCGGCCAGACGGGGCTGGATGGGCACCGGGGAAATGAATCGTCATTAGATTTAACTATGCATAACGTGAACTGACGACCGAATAAGCCAATAATATACCTACCTCAACCTGACATGTTTTTGATCGTAAAAGGCAGTTGGCCGTAACATATAAGGCTTTGGTGACGGTCATCGCATTGCCAGTTGGGCTATTTTCATTAACCCGCGCCCTGCTGGGGGGGGGGTGTTTGAACACCCCCCCTTGTGGTTTTTCGCGAATATCTCAAAAACGGCGGCGCGGAGCGCCGCCGTTTTTGGTACACCTTATCATACATCAATTCTACACATGTTGTGAAAATTTCAGACCAAGGTCATTCAAGGTCAGGTCACCAGGTCACTTGAAGTGACCTCACCTCATAAAAAGTTTCAATGTCTGTCATAGCTACACCGAGTGACCGATCGCTTTGAAACTTTCAGCGATTGCTAAGAGCAATAGCATGTACAAAATGTATATCTCAGAATTTTGATATCGATGACCTAAGGTCAGGTCAATTTTGCGACCTCCCCATTATAAGTCAATGGGAGAAAATTGAAATGCGCCTCTTTTGGAAGAAAGACATTATAAACACTCCCAAACACTGAATTACAAGTGGTTTAGACACACTGAACATGAAAATGGTGTCCGTGACTCCTGTTTATGCCCTGAGGTCATCTTAGGTCACGAATGGTATCTAACAGTTTTTCGCAAATAACTTTTGATAGAGGCATGCTAGAGCGATGAAAACGCCTTAGATGTGTTCAGCTCGACGATACGGATCGACTGATATGCAACATGACCCTTTCCGGTCAGGTCATGAACTTGACCTGAGGTCAAATTTTCAAGTTGACCTTTCAAGGTCAAGTTATAGTTCATTCGATGCGTCTTGACGAGAGGAACACGATGCCGGTAAAAGTAAGCTCGTACAAGGCTTGGGTCAAAAGTTATTGCAGAAAAACTGTTTCCGAAAAAATCGGCTATTTTTGCAGTTTTTGCCCCCTGCAGGCAAAACCGTTGACGGTAGGTCAAATCTGAGAGAATTACTCAGAAAGGGCGTTAATAGGGCTATCGAATGCGCTTTTCCGCGGCGCTGTAGCTCTATTGGTTCCCGAGTTATGCGTTGGCTTCTTGGAAATTTTCGACATTCGACCTGGAAATCGGCGAAATTTTGCCTTCAATGACCTCTGGTGACCTGACCTTTGACCTGACCAAAAATTGACCGAAGTGATTTCCTCATTATTTTTGACGCTCTTTCGAACGCCGCCTTCCGCGTATCGCTACGTGGCCCAGGAGCCGAGTTAGAAGGGGGGGTGTTCAAACACCCCCCCCCCCCAGCAGGGCGTGGAAATCCAGGACCCCCAGCAGGGCGCGGGTTAACATAAAACATACATACCATATTTACATGCAATATACATAACATTATTTGCATGCAATGCATATTGCATACCATTATTTACATACATATTTTTGCTTAAGCAAAACATTGCTAACTGTAGAGTGTACACCATATTCACACATATATTTTTACTTCAACAAACCATTCCGATCCTGTCGACCATCACCTTCGTCAGATGTCGTCTCGTTGACGCGCTGCTGCGTGGACGGCAGGTCGTCCAGCTTCAGCGAGTGCTGCCGCTTGAAAGCCGACACCTCCGCCTGTTTATGGCGGCCCTGGATGCGCAGACTGCCCTGACGCTCCAGAATGGTGGTGGGAGCGTGCGGACGCTCCACGGCAAACGGGTTTGTCACCGATCTCAGAGGCACCGGCTCTGCGGGGTAACAAGTCAGTCAACGTCACCAACCTAAGAGACACTGGCTCTGTGGGATAATATCAGCGAGACAGTCGGACAGTCATAGACCTCGGTGGTACGACTGCTGGCTCTGTGAGACAATGAAACAGCCCTCAGAGGTAACGCCAACGGATTTGTGAGGCAATTGGAGAGTCACAGACCACAGAGGCACCAGCTCTGCATGAGACAACGAAATAATTTGAGATAGAGAATCGACCACGTCACGATCCATGTGATCCGTGGATTTGTGACCCATTTTTTGCCACGCTGGATATTCATCCAGCTGTGTCAGCGAGCTGAACTGACCCGCCGGTTTGCAGTCCTGTGGGTCGGTGAGCCGCTCGGTGATGGACGCCCGCCTGAAGGCACCCAGTCCAGTGTCGGCCCCCGGTGCCAGTTCGTACAGCTCGGGGGTGCTGCTCTCAGAGTCACGCCGCTGCTTCCGCTCCAGACAGAGGCCGAACGCGACCCCGACGGCGTGACTCAGCCGCTCACCCTGGGACAAACACATAGACCAGTCAAAAACAGGAGTAGATAACGCGCGTAGAGACACACACCAATACTGCACAGAGCATAGAGCACATTGCGCTAATACGGTTACATGAACAATGGGGAATCACTGTTCAGTTCAAATATTGCATATTCACATGGGGCTAATGGCATCCACATTTCGAATTTCTCGGCAGATATTCAGATAATCAATCCATTACGGTCAAGCCATCTGCGAGCTTTACATACCGTTACAAGCTGGTCCGGTCCCTGAAAACAAGAAAGAGAGACGCTGAACAGTGAATATTAATCAATTCGATTAAAAGGTAGGCAATAAATAAGCGTACCGACAAATAGTTTCGATTTTCATACGGTGACAAGAATGCTAACTGAGTGCTCGCATCACCGAAAATATATTCTAAGGCCCGAGGGAAACTTCGTAAATTTATCGCTTTAATCAACGTAGTTCGATATCTCGAGCTGGCCAACTATAGAACTGTCTACTCTCGAGTCTCCCTGGTTTGACCTTATCTCTCCTTGACTGAGTCGCTTCATATATTAGTTACCGAATAAAAGGCAAATTTGATACTGAAAATAAACTGAGCGTACCGTCCCTGCATTGACCGTACATACTACCCCTGGATTGTCTAAGACATACCCACTACCCACTACCCAGGCATTGACTGAATCTCTCCTTGACTGACCGGGTCGCTCCTAAACTGAATGAGTGTCGCTCCTAAACTAGCTCAGTCTCCCTGAACTCACAAACTCGCCCCATAGAGACTGACCATGCGGCTGCATAGATTGACTATGGCTTATGCATCCCCCTGAACTAACCGAGTCTCGTGTGGCGATGAATCCGTGACACATCCATCGCCTGGTGGCGCCGTCCCGGCAGATGTACGAGAAGCCCCGGTCGCTGCTGCGGTCCGGCGCGCAAAACGATACCTTCTCGATGGTCTGATCCACCAGCAGCTCCTACAGAAATTGGTCGGGTCAGGTCAGAACGATACCCTCTCCATGCTCTGATTCACGAGTCCTACTAAGAGACCTGGATTTTTTTCAGGTCATCGCATCAGGTCGGGTCAAGTCAGCCAGGCATTCCGGATGAAGCAAAAGCAGACAGGCGCGGTGGTTATATTTTGATTGATTAAGTTCTTTTCTTTTTACCTCTTTTGTTTGCATTGCGAGTTATGATTCAACACTGAGGGTCATAATAAATGTCAATAGAGAACCATTTTCTACTTCGGTGTTGTATTATTTTGAGAAACATCTAGAAAGAAACTCCCCTTCATACTGTCTGGTGAACGCAAAACCAACTAAAACTGGCGCATTTGTCAGGAGGATTCTGTATTCTGTCTGATAAATACCTAAGCGTAATTCTAGGGCATCTGCTGTGCTTCAACTTCGATTTCAAGCTTTGATTTAAGTGCTTGATCTAAACTTCGACATGTTCATCCGTCAGTCTGAAATTTTGCGTCAGACTTCGCTACATGACGAACGGCAGTTTCTCTAAGCCTTTTGTGGTTTATTTAGCGGTGAGAGAGGATCCCCGTTTCTGCGCAGTTGACCCACCTTCGTTTCGTCGGCGACCACTCTCAGTCTGTCGCCGCTGATAAACAGCACACTGCGCACCCGGCGTCGCTGGGACTGAAAACAGCGCAGGGCAACGGAGGTCACGGAGGTCATCGAAAATGAACTGGAGGTCACCGAGAACTTGAAGACAGGGCGCGAGAGGCAACAAAGTGTCAAGGACTAATGAACCGCTGGCTACCGAATGCAAAAAATAAGCACAGGTCACCAGAGGTCATCGAAAAGTGAATCAGACGGGGCACAGGAAGTAATCGAAAAGTGAACCAAAACATGCCTCGAAAGTGGAAGGTCTTCGAAATATGAACCTCAGCTCACCAGAGGTTACCAACAGATGAACGGTAGCCGCGATGACTATAGCTTTAGGTGGCCTGACGCCGTAGGAAAACTGAGAAGAACGTAAATGCACGCGTGAGACTGTATTTGCGTGAGAAAAAAAAAAATTCAAAATGGATTATAGAATATATAACCGATCACTTAAATCGGCGAACAATTGCTTAGAGATGGTTCTAAATATTACAGTTAGGGGAAGCCGGGGGAAGCCCGGGCGCGGGGGAAGCCCGGCCACCCCGTTTCCGGCTAAATTATTCACAATAAAATGCTCAACTGTTTGTCCTTTCAGCGTGGCAGCTAAGGTGACGCCAGCAAAAAAGTTAAGGCTGACAAAAATTGCATATTGTTAAAGTTATAGCGCAAAAATGATATTTTAAGGGTTTTTAGCTAAAAAGTGAGATATGTTGCCCTGTTAATGTTATACCATACAGTACAAATATTTATACGAATGTTATGTAAGGACAGTTTAAGTGTTTGTAGTGAGGGGTGACGAGGCAGGCTGGCTTAAGTATGACATTTTTTTCGAATATCGCTGTTCTAAAATAAAAATTAGCACATTGGGGTAACCCCGGGCGAGTGGCCAAGCTTTCCCCCAACCGAGAGCAATGCCACTAAACCACTGTTTTCCATGAGATATTAGGTACTGAGCAGGTTTGGTTTACACCTAGATCAAAGATAAATTTCGAAAATAAACATGTTATCATAGACAAAGCCAGTCATGTCACTTAAGGTCAACTAGGGTCAAACTACGTTTTTGCAGATAAAGCGACAGACAATGAAGCTAGAGCTTCAAAAATGGTGTCGTTGTGTTCTTCTTCATCAGCCGAGTCGAATGATATGCAATATGATGCATTAAGGTAAAAAGAAAAATAAATTTTAAGGAATTTTGAAATACACATTTTTTGTCAATTTTGCATCACGATTTTCATCGACCTGTACTGTATATGTAGTAGACGCTAGCTAAAATACCAGTAGTGACATAAACTCTAAGATGTCCAGAGCTAATCAGTACCTTAATATTTCACTTTCCGTTAATATTTGGAAAACACATAATGGTTTCATCAACTCGTTGTAAAGCGCTGGGGAGGTGGCCGGCGTTACCCCTATGCCGGGCTTACCCCAGAAAAATCAACACTTTTTTAAAACTAGATTTTCTAAACCTTATACTAATTCCACGAAACCGAAATTTTGGGAAAACACGGCCAATGAACTTAGCTAGCTAGCAGGATATCAACATTTTATACAGCACGTATGGTATGTAATAAAAATGAAAAAGAGCTTACTATGCCGGGCTTCCCCCGGCTTCCCCTATGTCACCAGCGACAAATGTGTGCAGCAACGACCGCAATAATCTCACCTTGAGCATTCTTAGAGCATCTTCACAAACATGAAGTCCTCGAGACTCGTAAACTTGAGCACAGCCGAGATACTGGAACCAAAAAAAAAACACACAAATTAAATTTTAACCCGCGCCCCACTGGGGGGGGGGGCTATTTATAGCCCCCCCCCCTCCCGTTTTTCTGCAATTACTTCCAAACCGCTTGACGTATGGACGCCAAACTTTCAGTACCTTCGGCTGCATCAATTTGACACCTTGTGTCAAAATTTGAACTTCGTACCTACCATAGGTCGGCCGGAAATGACGTCAGAGTGACGTCATGTTCGGCCGATTTCGACGCAAAACATTGAACCACGGCAATCGCTCCCAAGAGCTCAGTTGTTTAAGCTAGATCCAATTTCTTTGTACCTTCGGCTTCATCAATTATTTGTACCTTCATTCATCAATTGTACCTTCGGCTGCATCAATTTGACACCTTGTGTCAAAATTTGAACTTCGTACCTACCATAGGTCGGCCGGAAATGACGTCAGAGTGACGTCATGTTCGGCCGATTTCGACGCAAAACATTGAACCACGGCAATCGCTCCCAAGAGCTCAGTTGTTTAAGCTAGATCCAATTTCTTTGCATGAGAGGACTCAAAATAGACAGCGCTATCAAACTGCAATCTCGGATTTTCGAAATTTTGAAAATTTCGAAAATTTTATATAATAAAATTCAAAATTTATATTTTTACATTTTTTTTCAAAAAGTTTTTGACTTTTCGCAAAAACCGGAATATATGTGATAGAACGCATCATTATGACTACCTCTAGCAAGTTTTAGCTAAATATCTTCAAAAATGGCCAGGTTATACGCATTATTGCAAAAAATTAACAATTATTAATTTTTCAAATCAATTTTTCAGCACGAATTTGACATCGTACGCCAATATAAATAGCACCATCGTGTTCCTGAGCTCAAACTGCATCGAATAGACACTTTTTTTTGTTGAAAAATTTTAACTTCCAAATTTGACCTTTTTTTGACCTGAAAGTGACCTGACCTAAGCTAAATTTGACTCAAAATGACCTCGAATGACACAGACGACATCAAATTCGAAATGTTTGGCCTAAATGGACCATAAAACATGTGTCACGTGACCGACGGATGATATAATATTTTCGTGACCTGTGATGACCTGACCTTGACCTGAAAATCAAAGTACAAGTTTGGTACCCTCAGAGTATCTAGAACATCTGTTCACGAGTGTGTGAACCAAAAATGAGCCTGATCTGGCTTGCAAGACGGCGGCCAGAGCCCAAAACGTGAAGAAGCCAAAATGCTAATAATTTTTACTTTGACCTGACCTGTAACGTCATCGGTGACCTCGAGGTCAATGAAATTAGGTTTCGCTCGACAGTTTTTCCGGGGCTATCAGACGCCGTTTGAATTTTGACGATCGGCCCAGTAGTTTCGGAGTTAGGAGGGGGGGGGGGGCTATGAATAGCCCCCCCCCGTAGGGCGTGTTATACGCAGACCCCAGTGGGGCGCGGGTTAAGGATGAGCCAGAGCTAGATCGTCAAATATATCTATTTTGATGACCTGACCTAGGAAAGGCAAGCTATCTTCCAACGCCTTTGCTTACTCATAGTCATATGGCGAGCAATAATTCATTGTTATGATTCATGAGCTGTTTGCCAATTTGTTCATGCACTCACCTTGACGTGGAAGGAGCAGATGCCGTTTTTGACGGCGGCCTCGTCGTTGGCCCACTGGTTGGGTCGGTACACGGCCGGGCCATACTGCTTCTTACGGATGCTCTCCTTCAGGGACCGTTTTAGCCGATCCATGGCGACTGCGGAATGGGAGCCACGGGGCCACGGGTCTCACGAGCCACCCCTGTGGATAAAGCGAGTTAGTGGCCGAACATGCTGCGGGAACTTGTCCGATGACACGGGCGCAACAGTTTCACGTGACGTTGTCGTGCTCCCCGGGCTGTTTCTGTCTTTTAAACAGCGTCCCGTACGGATATTCCTATATTCACTCAGCCGTAGAAAGCGACGGGGGCATTATAGCACACCTACCCGAAATTTATGGGATCGATCAGCATATTGTATTTAAAGAAAAAAAAACGTAAAAAAAGTTCGGTTTGATGCCGATGAGCCTGTTCTCTGGAATAATTAAATTGTTTGAAAAGTCCTGACATAACCATGGAGTGAGATAAAACAAGGATATATTCTTATATTGCCCGATACATTTGGATATAGAGGTGCAGTAATTTTGGGGCAACAGTATGTTAGTCCTGCCACGTCTACACTTCTGTGAAAAACACAAACATTTTCTGCATAACATTTTCAATTTTTCAGCTTTCACACAAACAATTTTTGGCTTCTGGAACGGCAAAACATGACGTAACTCTCACACTTCATGCCCCCGATACCGAATGAATGATTTCCCTCCACGCCTCTTTCCACCTTCACCTCGGCCCTTACCTGACTGCAGTACAAGGCGAGGTTGTCTCTGCTTTGCTGTCTGACCTGACGCCGACCTGGCGACCCAGGCCGGCCGGTCAGGCGGCCACTCGGGGCACCACCTGGCAGCGGGCTGGCACCGTCAGCGCGTCTGGCCTCCACCCACGGACCCCGGCGGCTGACCGGCGCCCGCAGATCAATAACGGCGCCCCATCGGCAACGACGGCGGCGGCGGCGGCGGCGGCGGGCCGAGCGGGGTCTGTGAAGGACCACCGACCGACGACCGACCGTCGACCGGCGCGGCAGAACCAGCGCCGAGCAGAGGGTCTGTTGAAAACTGAGAGTTGTCTCGGTCACGGACGGCTGATGAGAAGGCTCGGTCACGGATGGATGAGAGGTATGCTTGGTCACGAAGAGCTGGGGGTCAGGTTCGGTTATGGAGAGATGAAAGACAGGATCGGTCACAAAGGGATGAGAGGAGAGGATTCGGCTCGTGCAGAGTTGAAAAGCAGGCTCGACCTGTAAAGACAGCTCGATTTTAGGGTCAAATTGTGAGGAGCGAAGATGTTCGTAGAGAGCTGAGGAGCACCCCGGTCTATAAATAGGCGAGGAGCAGGCCCTATGTTCGTAGAGAGCTAAAGGAGCAATGCCTATGCGATTAGAGCTGGGAGGCAGACTCGGTTCATAGAGAGCAGAGGAATATGTTCGACCCACAGACAGAAACAAGGAGCTGAGGGGCAAGCCCGGTCACGCGCGCACCGCACTATCGATAGCCGGCCAAACAGGCGTGGGAGCGCCAGCGGCGGTGACCTCTATCCTGGACCATAGAGTGGACATTGAGCATGATGCAGTAAGGTCATCCAGCCACAGCGGCACCGCGCCGGCGGGACCGAATAGGAGTGTTTGATTGATCGTGGGGAGGCAATACCGTACCGTCCACTGAAATAGGATATATGTATGCCTATCTGAGCATGTGTTTGATCTTGAAATCGGCATTCACAATCAGGATCGGTTTGACAGGGCTGTATCAAAGCTGGCCACAATGATCAAAGTGGCCGCAGTAATAGGTACTGGGCTGATTTCGAACGGGTCCTTACAAATTTGGAACATTGCACACGACTTCTATGTGATACTATGATATAAGCATACGAACGATATTATAATGCGAGATAAGCTCTAATTGCCCTTTTTATTCCCGTTGGGGGTAGATTCATTGTCGCTTGTATGGTGTGTTAAGTAAAGGTAAATGCCACTCGGGTAACATGATGCCCACGTTTCCTGTCGCTATAGGCTCAGTCCTGCAGCAGCTTTGGGGAGTGGACTTTCGGGCGATCCGGCTGGATTTGGCCGTCTGAGCCGAAACCCGTGATTCAACGGGTCCAATGCGGTGTGGGCGGAGTTGGCAGAGGTGACCTTTGACGTTGAATGTCGCCACATTTCAGACCAAATCTCGGCTAGTTATAGACTCTGGAGAGAATATGCAGCATCAATGAACATACACGTTCGCGGTCCGCGTAAGCCGCAATCATCATTAGTGGGAAACATAACATATTTCGTTCAGAAGCCACATGTTTCTATGAATTATGATGGTTTCACTCGCGTGATTTTGACAACGGTTGATTGGCTCTATTGCGCTGCCTATATTTAACCAAACCCATTAAAAGCACTAAAATATACAATCGATGCACACTGAAAACAATTTAACCCAAGGCTGGCGAGTAAACCGGTGTTTTACGGGTACCCCTATCCGCAACCATTTTTAACCACCCTCCCAGGAGTAGTGCTAGGTCCCATTGCGGTGTAGTCGTACTTGCTCTGAGCGGATATAACCGCTGTCAGCGAACAAGTCCGCTGAGAGCAGGGACGACTACACTGCAATGGGACCTTACTGTACTCCTGGGAGGGTGGTTAAAAATGGTTGCGGATAGGGGTACCCGCAAAACACCGGTTTACTCGCGGGCCTTGGATTAAATTGTTTTCAGTGCACGTAGGACTAATGCTCATTACCATTACCACTTGTTATCAGCCGTACCATTATTATACCATTATTATATATTATACCATACCATTATTATCAGTCGAGGAGGGTAATAAAACTATCGAGATGTGGGGCCGGAAACAGAGGTGAAACGGAGCTGGAGCTGCCGACACGTTTTACGAGAGCCGCAGACGAAGCCGTAGACGGAGCCGTTCCAAAATTGCGCTCGAAGACGTCTACAGCCAAGAAAAAACATAGGAATGAAGTACTTAAGTTCACCTTACGCTCTGAAAATTCAAAATGACGTGCAACTTTTATCAGTGTCAATGAAAATGAAGGGAACGTAGTATTTTGTACCATTGAATTCGGATAGCATTATTTTCCATTGAGCTTTCTTACTGCTACTATCCCCTCCTGTCCCTCCCCTCTCCACCTTCCAAAATCCTGAGAAGAATAGGTAGACCAGAGAAGCCGCAAAAAGGGGTGACCTTTACGCGACCCGGACCATCCTCGGTCTCCCAAGGCCAACTGCCATTTCCGGACCAACAACACAATAACCGGGTAGCTGAGGTGATCTGCAGTCTCCTTACCGACCGATCCTAACATTTCCGCTGGGCCAAAATACGATTGTGTATTCTGAAAATCAGGGAGAGTAGCCTGTCCCCTGCTGGCAGGACGTGGAAACTCAGCTTACAATGGTTTCCGCCCTGGTGTTCAGTGTCGCTGGTGTCTGAGGGCTTATAGATCGGCGAGCGAACGGGCTGCTTTGCGCTCGTCAGAGGGGATCTGACTTGACGGGAGTCACCATGAGTCTTATCTTCCCTTTCCATCCTCAATTCTTCAGCACCAACACATTCACATCCCTGCTTAAGTTATTTAGCGCTTGCCAGCACCTTATCCGAATTGACGGTCATTCCACCTAGGCACCGGTGAACCGTAAACTCGAAAAGGGGAAAACTCGAACGGTTCATCCCCCTCTGGGATGATCGTTTGAGAGGATGGTCATAGGTCAATCAAATGTCGCGAGTGGCTCCAGCTTAGATTGCCGAGGGGGACTTTCAGGCTGAGCGGTCTGTCCCATGCCGGGACTATCCTGTTAAAATCAGATGGGCTCAGGCACTGCGGGACCGACCACCTGCGGTCAATCAAGCTTTGCAATGCCCCTTCTACCATTCTCTACTCCTATGGCTCTCGAGCCTCGAATGGTCTAATTAGACCGAAAAGGTCTAACCCGAGAAAATCAACGAAGGCAGAAGTGAGGAGTTTGTTTCAAAAATGCCAAGAATGCCAATAATCTGGACGTATAGGTTACGCACAGAAACAATAAACATAAGAAGTGACTAATAAAATGGCGCTTTTGTCCGTCCCATGAAAACTGAGGCAGCGCCTTGCGAGCGGTAGGATCAATAGTCGAATGTGCGTTTCGACCCTAGACAGCTTTTATAAGAGATGAAATGGTTTCCAGTTCCCACCTCCGGTAATAATTGATGTTGATCGATCACTTCCCAGCATATCGCCAGTGTTCTGTATGAATAGTCACCTGCTCATCCTGAATAGTTTCCCGAACAGTTTCCATCTCGGCTACCAACGTCTCGTTCCGCGTGGCTAGACAGTGGCACGCGGGAGCCCGGAAGTACGAGAGGAGCTCCATGACAGGCGGGGGAGGGAGGCGTACTACAGAGCAAACGTTTCCCGCTCCTTCAAGGCGAGCCGGCCCGTCAGAACGAGCCGGCGCTTCTCACCGCTTCTCACCTGGCGCGCAGGGGCGGTCTCAGTCGTGATTCAGGGGTGGGTGACTCTCTTCAGACTCGCTGGTGAGGCCGCGTTTGGTGTTTATTACACATCACACGCTGTAAGAATCGAGTATTCTCGAATACCCTTCCTAATTCCCACCCTCCCCTGTCTCCATCCTGGAGCCGCCCGTGGCCGTCTCGACCTTGCCGCTCAGCTGATCGCCTGGTGACGTCACGGCTCTGGTCGCGATCAATGTCAGCTCGACGCTGCAGGTGACTGGAGGCGGCGGGCCAGTACCTGAGTGTGCGCCGTGCCGGTCGGTGCCGTCATCATGTGCTCGCCGCGCGCCGGCCGCCGGCTGCTGCCGCTGCTGGCTGTGGTTGCTGCCGCCGCCACCGTAACCCTCGCCCTGCCCTCCTCGGGACCTCAGAGCCACCGCATTCACTCGGACTGGAGTCTTCATGACGATGAGTATGTGCTGGCTTACATCAACGTGACATATACTGACCCCGTCTCTGGGGCGGTGATCCACCAGGGCGGCGAGATCGGCAAGTTTTCCACCGGTCTGGTGGCCAGCGCTCGCGGGCGGCTGGTGCACGTGCGCTCCCGAAATGGGACCGCCCACCACGGCTGTGACGGACGATATGAGAACGATCTGCCACCGGCGCCACAGCCGTGGGTGGCACTGGTGCGCCGAGGACTCTGCAACTTCGACGTCAAGGTGGAGAACGCCTACAGGAATAATGCGTCGGCGGTGCTGATCTACGACTACAAGGAGGGGGAGCTGCACAGGATTCATCTGACCCAGCGACATAGTGAGTGGGAGGGGAGCGGGTCACTTGCAAACACTCATTGGAGACTAACCTAAACATTTGATAGGGACCTAATCTAGCCTGACCTGACCCAGCGATCGAACTCGTCGAATCATTTAGTGCCTGTGAGGAGAGACAAAAGCCGATTTGGGACTACTGAGAGTCCAATACGGTCAGGTGCTCGCCATGTCGGTCCATTGGCCCATGCGCCAACTTTTTGGGCGGCATCTGACTCTGAGAACCCTCACTACGGCCTCTGTTGGCCCCATTATTGGCTCCGAGGCCCCTCAGGCCCTCACGACACTCTTTGAGAGCTCCCGCGCTGGCCCCACGGGCCGCGCTGGCATCTGAGGTCCCCACGATGGTCTTGACTCTTGAGGGCCTTCAAGTCTCATGGAGACATATAAGGGCCCCACAACGGTCTCCGAACGTCACCACGGAGGCTTGTTTGGCCGCGCTGGACTATGATGGCCCTCACGATAACCTCCGAAGCCGCTTACGACGACTTTTGAGGGCCCTTACGATGACGTTTAAGTATTTATCGGAGGCTCGAATGGAACTGATTCGTTCAGGCAATTCACATGCCCATTTATGTCACTTATAGTACGGAGGGGCATCTTACCCAACCCCAGAGGGCGTCTTTCCCACCCTCTGGAGTAAGATTCCCCTTGCACTTCTTCAGGAAAATGATTATAGCAAAAAAGTAATCATATTTCAAGCACAAAAGTGTGGTATTTTGTGGAAAACAAATGATGTCGACTTCTGTTGAAACTCAAAGTGTTTGCTTACCGATTGTCATTTTCGAATTATTTATGACATTACAAACCCCTGGGCATCTATCCCCAGTCCCCACTCTCCCCTACGTCTTCTTTCTCCACTACCATTCACGACATGAAACGTCTTTTCACGAAGGAATCACTGGCCCCCAAGAGACATGCAGTCCTGACATTGACCACAGCACCGAAACCGTGACGACTGACGGCATGATAAATACATAAGCGACTGAACGATTACGTGCTCAGTTCCCATGACTGGCCTCGTCCTTCACTTTTTCATGGCCAAGTGCGCAGTGCGTTACTGTGCCACGATACCTTTGGCTTGGACTTACTTTCAAATAATACGTTTGAACATTATCTGGCGAGGGATATTCAAATATATCTATCGCGATCGCCAGATTATGTGCAGTGCGCGGCCGCGTATTTCGATCGGGTTCGTTTCGTATCGCCGGTTGAAGTCTCCGGGAATCGGATGCTCTGAAATCGACTATGATGCGCCAGCCGACAGCCCACCAAACGGTTTAGCGTGACGGCCTAACATTCAGCACTAAGACGGATTATGATACGGATTTCCGCTCCTCTGGCTAAGTAACTAGGCGGTCCAGCAAGGTGTTCAGGGAGGTGTTGGCAGAGGTGCTGAAGATGCCAGTGAATGGAACTAAAAAAGGTCTCATGATCGCCCGTTCTTTCATGAAACGTCAGGTAGTATTCACGGCAGTATAGTCCAAAATCAGGCGACTGGTTGACATTGGTCAAAGAACCAGTGCGCATGAGCACTTCTTTATCATTAGATGCTTAACGGTTGATCTGAAGTCTGTATCCATGCAGATAATTAACATTTGTTCATTTGATGATAACCCAATGCGATATTGACCGTACTAGAATTTTTGTTCGCAATAGGCATATGTTTATCGTGAACAGCGTCAAGGTTTGGCATGGTCTAGTAAAAAGGGTGTGACTTCTTTTCACTGTTGCTTTTACATTTGTGTTATGCAACGATAATTTTTCCGAACCAAGACGGTATTTGCCTTGTTACCAGCGTCCAGTCAGAATATGTCGCTGCAGGTTTTATCGCTTGTTATGACTTGCATATCATGCTCATTGTTTCTGAGTGGGCTCGTTTACGATACTATTGGTGATGTCAGACCACGCATTGAACAAACCAGAACCGTTAAGTTTAGTGGTTTCCGTTGACGCCGCGTCACGTCTCCCTTACACCTGTCAAGTGGCAATGCTCCCCATATACTCGTAAGGTGTGCAGGTGTAAGGTGTAAGGTGTAAGGTTCAGACGAAATTAACGTGCTGAATTGATGCCGAAAACACAGTTGGTATATTTACGCTAAAGTACATTAAATGCTAAAAAGCATAAAGCTATACTGTTATGCACAAAGTATACACATTGCTTATTGGGCTAGATCGATTTGGATGGTTACATAAGGTCAGTGTTATCATATCCGATAAGGTGAGGTCAGGTGAGGTCACCATATTAATTCGTAAAATAACTATCAACAACTCCATTGAACGTTATTGGGAGACTAGGAGTTCATGTTATGTGCACATTTGCTTGGCTCCTCGTTTAGTGCAAATGCATGCGTTTTACAATCCTAAGCCTTACATATTTTATGAATCAAAGGTCATGTCATACAGGGTACGTACAAAGCTTGGCATATCTCCAGCATTCAAATTCTTATGGTAACATAAGGTACTTAATTGTTTGAACTTTGAAGTTACAGCTGGGAAATTCCCAGCGGTGACTGAATGACATTTCGGCCAATCCGGCTAATCAGGGACAAAGAATGCATAGGTACTGCTGAGGTATTTTTGGTAGAGGTCCCCAGGCCAATAATCGGCCGGTTCGGCACTTTTTACATACATATAGACTGGGGCTGGATGAACTGGACAATACGAGTACAGTACACACAAAGTTCTGATTTTTACGGAGCGAGCGAATCGAGCGGAGTCTTTACTTGATTAACGGAAATTTCTGAGTATGAGCGGCCGGCCGGCCGGCCGGCCGTGCGGACGCTTTTGCGAGGCTTATATCTCAGCAACCACTTGACCGATTTACACGCGGTAATTTTTGTAGGGTAGCTTCATTCCTTCTAATACGGGGGTGGAGAAACATGCCGAGTTGGGGTTGCACGGGCGCAGCAAATCCGCCGCCGCCCTGGCGGTGACCTTGACCTCCGTCGTCTGGTGCGGCTCCAAAGCCAAGCCGGCGCAGCCGGCGTGGAATTGGGAAGACTCGTGCTACCCCAACTCGGCACATTTGTCCACCCCTGCCAAGTATTGGACTATTCCCGATGCATGTGGGTGACCCCTTATGCACGTGCCACGTGCAAAACGAAGATGTGTCAGTTTTGTAATTGTTGCAATATCTCGGTAACTACTTGGCCGATTGCGCTGAAAGTTGGCATGTAGGTAGGCACCCACTAGGCACTGCATATCCATGTGCCAGAGTTGGGGTGCTGCTGCACGTGCGCACGTGCAGGGGTCGTTTCCAGATCTCGAGAACGGCTGGACCGATGGCGCTTAAATTTGGTACACGGTTAGGGACCAGTTAGTAGGGTGCCGTGCACAAGTCACTTGGGACCCATTTTGTACGTGCGCACGTGCAGGGTGCCGCTCCCAGATCTCGAGAACGGCTGGGCCGATTGTGCTCAAATTTGGCACATCGCTAGAAACCGGTCAGTAGGGTGCCGTGCACAAGTCAGTTGGAGGTACCCCCTCGAGATTTCGCACGTGCAAGACTCACCAGGGGCTCCGCCACGGTTTTGGGATTGGGGGGGTCCGACCAAAAACACAAAACCTCGCTGGCGGATCCAAGGTGGGCATTTTGGGCGAATTCACCCCCACCCCTACCCCTCACCCCCACCCCCACCCCACCCCCTGCAGCTCCCGAAATCGATGAAAAATTGCCGTTTTTTCTAGAGTTCAAAGGAAACTTAACAATTCTATCGGGAGGATTTTGCTTTATGAACCGAAAAAAAGGTTCAGTTTGCAAGAGGAGTCGAAAACCGAAAAGCGGAGCTCAATGACACCGACATGGCGGCCTCTCAAATCAACGTTCTTAAGGAAAGGAGGCCGCTGTTGCGCGCTCCAAGGGCGGTGTTAGCCATCAGACAGCGCATTAGGCTCTCAGACTAGTATGGTGCTCGAAAGACCGGCTTACCCCCCCCCCCCCCCCCCACACACAAACACACACACTATCGGGTGATCTCACATGGAAAGAGGGTTCTCAGATCGATTTGAAGCTCTTTTGGGGCGGGTGTTGTGTCTAGGAGGTGTCCTGCAAGCTGGATCCATCTCACGAAATTATTGCCAAATTCTAGCATGCTAAGTTAATCCTAGCAATCTTAAACGCATTCATAGTAATAACAAAATGGTAGAATAATGACACTTCCATAAATATTGGTCGGCGATTGCTGAGCACTTCGTGTGTCACAACATCTTCGTGTTTCCCTACATTTCTAGATCTTAAATTCCTTAGCTTTGCGACCATTAACACATTCTAATTAAATTATTCAACACATTCTGTGAATGATTTAGTCATTCTAACGCAAAACAAGGTTACAGGTATTCGGAATATTGGGGGGTACTGTACCCCCCATGGAAATTATTGAGGGGGTCCGGACCCCCGCGTACCCCCCTGTGGCGGAGCCCCTGAGACTCACCCCCTCGCTCGCTCCGTTAGTCGCCCCAAAAGGCGCTATACTGGTGATAATGGCTGATAGTCTACGATAGCTTGTCATTCACTTTATCAAGCAGTTTGTAAAGCCGAGCATTGAGTCCGCGCCGAACCGGTGCCATCTCTACTCAGCGCAGGGCAACGCCAATTGCAATGAATTCCTCCCCTCCATCCCTCCATACCCCTGCCATCCACATTCCACCGCGTGGCCGTCGCCCCCGCTCGAGCCATCGTCTCCTCCTGACGGGCCCACCTCAGTCCCAGACGGCCGGTGGTATTACCCCCCCCCCCCCCCCCCCGCTGCCCGGCGGGGGAGGGGAGGGGAGCCCGTCAAGGCCGGTCGGTCGCGCGGCGGTCCAGTACCCCCGGAAGACGTCCTCGCTGCCGCCTCACGTGGTGTTCCGGGTGCCGGGGGCGGAGACCGACACACAGGGGCCGGTGGAGGGGAGAAAAAGAGCCGGCTCGGCCCGTGCCCCGCGGCCAGAGACGCTCAAAATGGCCCGCTGTATTGTAGATGGCAGCGACGGCTGGAAAAGGCT